GCCTGATGAAGAAGAAGCCAGTGGAGCTTCGAAAGCTTGCAACAAGTCCTTTGTGAATTTTGGTTGGTCCCATAAAGGTATCCCTGTTTGGTGGATTTGGGGTGTTATTGTATGGTTGTTGTATGCCTTCAAGTCATTTCTGACTTATGGTGACCCTAAGGCAATCCTATTGTTTTTTTTTTTCTTGCAAGATTTGTTCAGAGGGTTTTTTTTTTTTTTTTTGCTTTCTCTGAGGCTGAGAGAGTGTGACTTGGTGCTGGAGCTGTTTTGTTTTGTTTTTATTTGTTGACAGCCATCATTTCTACAGTGCAGAGGCACCCACACAGTATAATTTCTACAATGCAGAGGCACCCACACAGCATCATTTCTACAATGCAGAGGCACCCACACAGCTTTGTTTATACTTTGTTTAAGAATGTTTATTGTTCAAGATGTGAGCGCATGAGCGTGCCTGGCAGCAGTGATTTCAACTGCAACAAGTTGAGATCCTAAGCTTTTGGGATTGTTAAAGATGTAATCTTTCATGGCTGAACTGGACAAGTTCATCACAATGGATTTTACTTAGTTATTTTATTTTACTTTTATATGCATTAATAAACTATGCTTTTGGACTTTACAATGTGTCTTCTTGACTGAGGAAGACAGGATCCTGAAGAAGGGAAGCTGAGCCAGTTGATGGCAAGAGTTACAAAGTGGCTGTGGATCACAGCAGCCAGCTTGTCCTGCAGATTCTGCTGGGTGCCAAAGAGCATCACTGCAACACCCATCATCCACACACTGACAACAGCATCATTTCTATAATGCAGAGACACCCACACAGCATCATTTCTACAATGCAGAGGCACCCACACAGCATCATTTCTACAGTGTGGAGGCACCCACACAGCAACATTTCTACAATGCAGAAGCTCCCACTCAGCATAATTTCTAAAGTGCAGAGGCACCCACACAGTATCATTTCTATAATGCAGAGGCACCCACGCAGCATAATTTCTACAAGGCAGAGGCACCCACATAGCAACATTTCTATAATGCAGAGGCACCCACACAGCATCATTCTATAATGCAGAGGCACCCACACAGTATCATTTCTATAATGCAGAGGCACCCACACAGTATCATTTCTACAATGCAGAGGCACCCACACAGCATCATTTCTACAATGCAGAGGCACCCACACAGTATCATTTCTACAATGCAGATGCACCCACACACTATCATTTCTACAATGCAGAGGCACCCACACAGCGTCATTTCTACAGTGTGGAGGCACCCACACAGCATAATGTCTACAATGCGGAGGCACCCACACAGCAACATTTCTATAATGCAGAGGCACCCATACAGCATCATTCCTACAATGCAGAGGCACCCACACAGTATCATTTCTATAATGCAGAGGCACCCAAACAGCATCATTTCTACAATGCAGAGGCACCCAAACAGCATAATTTCTACAGTGTAGAGGCACCCATACAGCATAATTCCTACAATGCGGAGGCACCCACACAGTATCATTTCTATAATGCGAAGGCACCCACACAGCATCATTTCTACAATGCAGAGGCACCCACACAGCATCATTTCTCCATTGCACCCTTCTAAGAAGTTGCCAGCCAGCCTCACATCTAGTACTTTTCTGAGCTTCTCCTTCTGCCAGAGCAGCACTTAGGGAGTTAAATGCACAGAGTCCCCATCGCCTAGAGTAAACCAGCCAAAAAAAAAACCAGAAAGGGTTTGGGTTTTTGAAAAAGTGCAGCCCTTTTTCTGCTCAGCTGGATGCAAAGATCTTCCTGTCTTCTTCACAATTTCCTTCCTGGTAAGAAAACTTCTCTTTTTGGTTCTGCTCCAACTAAAGTGCAATTGAAATAGCAACCCAAGAAGTGCAATGCAGAACAGACAAGGAGGTGGTGAGTAGAGAGTCAGAAAATTGTATTTGGAGCAAAAGGAAAAGAGACAGAGAATGACTGATAATGGGCTTGCAAAAAGGGTTGGGAGGAAAAATCAGATTAAAAACAACAACAGCCCCAAATTGGTGTTTAAACCAGTTGTTTTGTTGTGTTTTGTTTTTGCATTAATATTTGAATGAAAAGATTGGAGTCCTTCTTAATATATTAATACTGTGATGATTATAGGTAAATTTAAGGTAAAAATACATAATTTGATGTATTGGAAAGCTTGATCGACCATGTTTTAATGTTTTAATGTACATCAGTGGCACTATACAAATAAACGATAACAATAATATTGAAAGCTTTTTTGTTTTGGAATTTCAGATTAATGCTCTACTACATTATTACTATAATTGATTATCTGTTTTATTCTGTGTTTTGTCTTTGTGTGTGCCACTTCTGTAAATTTGCATTGTAGTGTATTTTACTATTGCATTTTTAGTATTATATTTTAGTATTTTATATTGAAGTAGTTATTAATGTTTTATTCTGTAGTAAAGCACTGTGTACATCAGTGCCACTATATAAATAAACAATAATTTAATGGTTTATGTTTTCTAGCACTAACATTAACAATCCAAAATTACTAGGCTTTGATACGATGTTACATCTTTCAATAAAACACCATTTGTACTGTTTCATATTCCTATTAAATCTGAATATATTAGACTATGCATAATAAAAACATACAAAGTACTCTCAGAGTTGTTTTGGTTGACCTAATGTTAACTGAAGGACTGGTTGCTGAATGCTTACAACATTAATGTTTGAATGAAAAAAATTGGAAGCCTGCTTATTATATTAATATTGTGAAACATAATTTCAGGTATTAGAAAACTTGATCAACCATATTTTAATGCTTTCTCGCCTTAACAATCTAAAGTTATCAGGCTTCAATATGATTTACATTTTTCAATAAAACACGCTTTTTCCTGCTTATAATTCCTATTAAATCTGAATCTGAATATATCTAGACCAGGGGTAGGCAACCTTTTTGAGCTCGGGGCCGGGTTGCTGTCCCTCAGACAATTGGCGGGCCGAAGCAAAATAATAAAATAATAAAAATAATAAAAATAAAATAAAATAAAATTTAAAAATATGCATGCACACTCTCTCAGCCCCAGAAAAGCCATGATGGCAAAGCCCCTGTGGAGATTTTGCCAAGAAAACCCCAAGAACAAGTAATAACAACAATAATCAATATCATCATGGTGGGGGGGCAGGACCGGCCTGGGGCCGGTTCAAAGGCCTCATGGGGCCGCATCCGGCCCCCGGGCCGCAGGTTGCCTACCCCTGATCTAGACTATAGATAATAAAACAAAGTGGTCTCAGAATTGTTTTGGCTGAATTTATGTTAACTGAAGCATTTGTTTCTGGATGGCAACATTAAATGAAAAAATTACAAGCATGCTATTATCTTAATACTGTGAAACATTATTTTCTTTATTAGAAAGTTTCATCAAGCATGTTTTACTGCTTTCTCACATTAAAAACCCAAAGTTATTAGGCTTTGACATGATGTTACATTTTTCAATAAAACACCATATTTTTTATTGCTTTTTATTCTTATTAAATCTGAATATAACGCAGACTATACATAATAAAATGGACAAAGTACTCTCTGGCTGGATCTACACTGCAGAAATAATTCAGTTTGACCCCACTATAACTGTTGTGGCCCAGTGCTATGGAATCATGGGATTTGTAGTTTTTTGTGGCACCAGAGCTCTCTGACAGAGAAGCCTAAATGTCTCACAAAACTACAATAGTGTTTACACTGTTAGAGAGCTCTGGTGCCAGTTAAAGTGGTTTCGAACCGGATTATTTCTGCAGTGTGGATGCAACCAGTATCAATCGATCTGATTTGACGTTTCTTTTTCTTTCTTTCCTAATCCCAGAGGTAATGCTAGGAATAAAAATGGAGGAGTGGAACCCAGCAAGGAAACCCCAGTCCGGGGAAAAATCAGAAAGCAGAGGAAGAGATCCTCTGCAGGAATTCTTGACAGGAGCAGCTCCCCAACAAATCAAACAAGAACCAGACGACCAGCGTTGGGATACCCAGTGGCTGGAGTTTTTGAAGACAGTCAAGTCCCCGCATACGGAGTGGCAGCACCTCAGGCTTCCCAGCCCCATCTCAGAGGGAAATTCGAACTCAGCCCCGCAGGCTTCCTTA